TTTTTATCCTAGATTGGACCATTGTTAACGGCATTTTCAATTCTTTTGAGAGGTTACAAAAAAACTACAGCCTGTTTCAAACTGTTGAATAGCCGCATATTTAAGCAGAGCATGTTCTAGTGGCCTTAGAACCGCCTGTAATTTTGAGTGGGTTGATGAAGGCTGTGTCCTTTCTTATCTGATCATCCCCATGCAGAATCTCTTCCCCCCCCCCCCCAGGTGATACCATTACAGAACTGAGAATCAATGACTAAAGATTAGGACTCTTTAAATGGAGGTAAGTGACCCTGTTTCCCCTTCCTGTCTTGGTGCCAGTTCACCTGTCTCCACCCTCCAGACCCCCGGCCAGCCCTTCGGAAGCTCTGTACATTCCACAAGTCCTTCAACATGGAGTCTCCACTCCCTGGCTGCCCGGTAGGCTTTGTCTTTAAGCCAGGCCCTTCGGGATGCAGCTGCGCAGTTGGGGCAGAAGATTAAATTAATTTGTAACCCTTTCCCCTCCCCATTTGGAGGGGGTTTAGTAAATCCCTCCCCTTTAATTGAAACCCTATTTCAAGGTCGCTTGTGCTGCTGCTCTCTTCCCAATTTAACTCCAAAGCGCTTAAACGTGGGTAAATTGCAGTTATATCCTCACGGATTCTTTTTAGAATTGTGCCATAAGGGGATGGTGGAATTGGTAGAGATAAAAAGGGGAAATGACATGGCTTCTCTTTGCAGTATTTAATATTTATCAGGGGGAGAACATTTTGTCAGAGGACTGCTAAGGTGATTTTAACATTGTATTTGGAAATCTACCAATTGATCTTGGGAATGAAATTTCTATGCCGTGGTTTCAGGTAATCCAGTTGTTATGTTTGGGTTTTAAAGAGAGAAAAAAAACCTCTTTCCAGTGTCTGGCTGCTCCAAACGTGCCGCTTTTTTCCTCTAAATTGAGAGTTTAACGGCAGTGCACAATCTAAATGCAAAATCTTGAGATGGAAATTTAATTGTGTAAAATGTGCACAAAGTAATTAAGAACAAATTTTAGAACATTTCAGACTATAAAGTACTTCTTTAGCTCGATCACAAGCAGTATTGTAAGTGCTTATTTTCAATTTGCAGTTATGCTGAGAAACATGGAATGTGACTAAATAAAGCCATCCTCTGCTTTTCAGAATAACTGTAAATTAAAAAACCAAACTTGCAAGTCTCACACAGAGCAATCTACGAGTGTAGAGGGTGGGGGAGGCTTCATGGCACCATTGTCCTTAAAAACAGCATTGCAAAGTGCATCACAGGCTCAAATCCTAATAGTCCTTAATTTTGTGAATAATTGTACTTGATCTCAGACTGACAACTTTAGGGAAATAAAAACTGGGATTCTACTGTTGGGCCATCTAGTCCAGCCCAAACCATGAACTAAAGAGGCCTGCCTGAGAGACCAGAAGTGGACAAGCAGTGCTCCCTATAAAGCTCCATATCAAGTTTTCTTAAAAGATCTAGCAACTTTGCTTTGGAACATACAGTATTTGTCTAACCCGTTTCATCTAAAGTCCTTTCGGATGGCTTCAGATTATGGAAGCACCAGGCAGGGAAACCTGCATTAGACCGTTGGTCCTCCTGGACCGGTCTTTTTCCATACTGCTCCTGGCTTCAAACACACACCCTCCCCTGTCCAACTACATGCAACATTTACATTAAGGCTTTCCCTCTGCTGGCTCACCATGTGCAGGGCTCTGGCTCTGGGGCTACTTCCGTCTTTGTGCACTCTCCCATATCTAGCAGTAGTCAGCCCCAGTGTACTTCTCCAGCCACTTGCACACCTCCCCGAGCCCCACTGCACTCGCACTGGGACATCAGTTGGCATTAATTCTTAGCTATTACATAGATGTTCACAAATAGATCTGTCCCCAGCACTGTCTTTCAGGTCTTCCAATGATGCATTCGTCACCACCGAATCCATCCATCTTGCTGCTGGTTGTCCTCTTTACTTGCATCTTTCCTAGCATTAAACCATCTCTGGGCAACTAGATTCTTTGCACAAGATTTCTGACGTAGGATAATTTGAGCCTGGTCACTTAGCCTTGACTGAGACCATAAAATAATAGTGTTGAAAAGGACCTTGGAGTCCCCTTGTCCAACCCCTTACTTAAGCAGGAGATATTATGTCCTTATGGACATAAGAAAGATTTTCTAAGAAAGGTTTCCAATTTAACCTGAAATCTATATGCATCTTTTAATGTAGAAGAATCAGAGATGGTTGTCAAGAGACAGGTGTCAGGCACATTGATGCCTGTGGAGATCACGTTGAGAACTTAGAACATAAGAGTTACATACCTTGGTACTTCCCAGAGACACAGAAATGCCTTCAGTGGCTCCTTTGTCTCAGATCTTGCCTCGTTTTCACTTGGGGCTAGGATTTCCAACTTCTTCGTATTGCCTGGGGTTTCGTCTGGTGTCCTTGGTCATGTCTTGCTGGCAGAGGTCACACCTTCTAGAATTTACCAACATCATTTACTTGGTATTTCCCCAAAGACTTTGAGAGGTGATGCTGAGGAAATGCTTGTCATTTGGTCAAATGAGGTTATGGTCCAGCCGCTGCCTATGTTCTGCATTGTCTTGCAAATTGTCAGAGAGCAACCTCTTGCTATCACCTCAGCCTGTGGTAGGCAAATGTTCTGGAGTTCTGGAGCAGAGGGCAATAAATTAAAATGATTGGGATTTAAAATAAGATTTTCCTGGATTGGGGAGCAGTTATGCTAAGTGGCTGAGACAGAAGGATTCCAGAGGTAAGGTGGAAAAAAAGACTCTTCTCAAACCTATGAAGTGCTATCAAGACTTTTCTGAGTGCCTTATCTTCCGTGCTTTCCTGTTTTCAATTTCCCTTTGAGGATTATAAATCAGTGCAGATCCACACTGCTCGTGTTATGCCAAAACAATGCAAAGCCCTAATTTGTTTTTTTGTAAGAGCTTCCCCTCCCCAATCTTTTGGTTTCCATGCTTTAGCTGTTAGCCTATTTATAAATCTAAATCTACATACAGAGGTCATTGGTTGGCTGAACTTAAAACCATTTTACTCAGTAAATTTAATTAAGAAAATACAGTGCAACTCATAAGCAAATGAGTTTTTCCTAGTTTTAAACCAAACCATCCTCTTGAGTGTTGATTGCCTTGCTCGACCCCTGGTGATACAGAAACAGGCAAAATTAAAAAGGACATTAAAGCTTCATTAAATCTGAAACACATTTAGTACAGTGACATATCTGCAGGCTATTTCGGGGAGATTACAGATTACCTTGACAATCTTGGACTGGGGCGGGGGAGCACTGGGCACAGCCCAGTCAAACAAAGGTCCTCGCTGTTCCCTGCGGGGGCCTGGCTTGGACTTCTAAAATACATCGTACTTAGAAGGTGTGTGCTCTCCACAGCAATAATTTCTGTATCAAGAAAACCAATTCTGCGCTCAGAATATATTTGCATAATATTTGTGTGATTTGCATAAATTTTCATCTGCACTCGTTTCAGTATTATGCCATTGTCATCCTAAATGTTGCTATCCTGTTGCAGTTTTTTTTTTTTTTTCAGAAGAGCACTCGGTCCAGGCATCTGCTATGTCCATAACATACTTTGCACTAGGGTGGTCCTTGACTTACGACCACAATTGAGCCCAAATTTTATGTTGCTAGGCAAAACATTTATTAAATGAGTTTTGCCCCATTTACAACCTTTCTTGCCTCAGCTGTTAAGAGAATCACTGTAATTGTTAAGTTAGTAACGTGGTTCTTAAGTGAATCTTGCTTCCCCATTGATTTTGCTTGTCAGAAGGTCGCAAAATGAGATCCCCTGATCCCAGGTCATGGCAGCCATCATAAATATGAACCAGTTGCCAAGCATCCGAATTTTGATCATGTGACTATGGAGATGTTGAAATGGTCATATGTGTGAAAAAGTCACTTTTTTCAGTGCCGTTGTAACTTCGAACGGTCACTAAACGAGCTGTTAAGTCGAGGAATATATACAGGTAGTCCTCGGCTTACAACCGTTTATTTAGCGATCCATGTCAAAACATCACTGAAGAAAGTGACTTATGAAAAGGCCTCACACTTTGTCACAGCCTCTGCATGGTCCCGTGATGCCCGGCAGCTGGCCTGTGTCCACGTCAGTTGCAGCCTCCTGGGGTCCTGTGATCGCCACGTGCCACCTGTCGAGCTGGCTTCTGACAGGCAAGGTTAGTGGAGGAAGCTAAATTTGCTTAATTCACTAAGCAACAGCGTAGACTCACTTAATAACAAGAGCAAAAAAGTTCTTAAAATTGGACGCAAAATGGAATGGAAATGCCAGTCCCAATTGTGGTTGTCAATCGAGGCCTGCCTGTGCGCCATTTTCTTGGGGTCTGCACCACCCGGGGAAGCGAGGAGGTGCCCCTCTTGGGCTGGTTAACCTTTGAGCCCCTCTGTCTCAAGATCCACCTGTGGTAACAAAAAGCACATGCCGAAGCTTGAAGCGAGGACTTGAGTCCATAGCTGTGGGGCTGAATTGAAAGCCAACGGATATGGGAGGAAGCCCAGTGCTCCAGTCTGTGGGATCCTGCTTTCAAGGGCAAAAGGCAGAACTGGGCTTCCATGGTGGAGGCTGTCCAAATGCCTTGGCAGTTTCTCCATGCTCATTGTGACTGTCGGCTCTCCTCCAAATGGCTGGAATCTCTTAGCAACTGAAATGCAAAGAGAGGCCACGGAATTGAAAAAGGCCCATATTTTGTTTACGAGCGCAGAATTTGGCTGGGCAGACAGGCAGACAAATAGACGCATTAACAGATCTGCTGCTCATTTATGGATAGCCTTTCAAAATATTGCCATTTTACTTATCTGTTAAGGTTTTTTATTCTGATTCTCTCTCTCACGCACACATACACACTTTTTGCCCTCAAAACAATTCTAAGTTATGAATCCCTCTCCCTCCCCTTCCTTTTGCTCAGCCCCTGATGCAGATCTCTCTAACCAGACCATTTTTTTTTTCCCCAGCTTGCTCTCGGGAGGTTCCCTTATCCTCAGGTAAGACGCTCATTGCTGCCTCACTGATTCCGTGGATGAAGGTGCAACAAGCAATTGTGTCAGTCTTTCCACCTGGTTCATATAAATCTGCCCCATTAAATCAAAAAGCAATCACTTCAGAGTTGCCAAAACCGCCATGGATCTTGTTCTCTTTTTAAGGTCCAAGATTTATTTTTTATCTCTTAGACTGTTTCCTGGAGCATATAGTGAGTTTGAAGCCGAGCAAATTTGCTTTTCTGCCTTCCTGTCAACATGGTGGCTGAAAGTGATGTGTGTCAAAATCTGGTGCGTTTAGAGCAGTGTCTCTAAACACTGTGTATACAGGTGGTCCTCAACTTACAGCCATTCATTTAGTGGCCATTCCTCACACTTATAATTGTTGGAGCATCCCCACAGTGGCTTGATCAAAATTTGCATGTTGGGCAACGAGTATGTATTTACAGTGTCTGCGGTGTCCCTGGGTCATGTGATCACCATTTGCCACCTTCAGTGAAGGAAGTTGGATTTGCTTAACAACTGTGATTTGCTTAGCGACCATGGCAAAAAAATGGGCATTGCTCACTTAACAACTGTTTTGCTTAGCAACAGAAATTCTGGTCCCTTGATTTACGACGATTCACTTAGCGAATGAAGTTATGACACCTCTCCCCCCAAAAGATACTTACGATCTGGTTCCATAGTTCGGCTGACCATCGCCCCCCCCAGCCCCCCAGTCCTGTGACTGCATTTTGGGCACTCTGCAGCCGGCCCACCTTTATGGCTGCTTGGAGCATGCCGCAGTTCCGTGACTGCCATTTGCGGAGTTTTTGCTGAGCGCTGGCATTTACTTCTGGCTTTTGGCAAAAGTGCCCAATAGCGAGCAATGGGTTCACTTAACATCCGCAGTGATTCACTTAACGACCGCTGCAAAGGAGGTCGTAAACTGAAGTCACATGGATAGCCCGCTTTACGACTGTCACAATATATAACTGTAACGAGCAGGCTCCATTACGGTCATAAGTCAAGGAGAGACAGATGGAAGCTGCCATCTGAGGCCATTAATGGCCTAGGCCAGTCTTCCTCAACCTTGGCAACTTTTCGATGTGCAGCGCTGGCTGGAGAACTCTGGGAGTCGAAGTCGGCACCTCGTAAACTTACCAAGGTTGAGGAAGACTGGAATAGGCCAAGCTCAGATCTTGCAGCTCCATTAACCCTAAATGCTACTTTCCCCTCCCTATGGGCAATTTCCTTATTGTTCCAAATCACTTTTTCCTTGACCACCATCTCATTTAAATGAAAAACCAATAACAATTCGCATGAACTCAGTATGGAAACATTCCACATATTTCCTTGAATATTCAGAGCATTTCCTCCACACAAGGGGAGGGTGCAGCCCCAGGCTGGATTTCATGATTTAGCGGAATCCTTACTGATTCGCATAATAACCGGATTACTAATTTATCAACTGCAGTGATTCACTTAACCACTGTGGCAAGAAAGGTCATAAAACGAGGCAAAAACTTCTTAACTGCCTTGCATAGCAATGGAGATTTTGGGCTCAGTGGTAAGTCCAGGACTGCCTGTATTGTAATTTTTGTCTTGCACATTTCATTTTTCCCTCCTTTTGCATCCCTTCTTTAAGCTTCTATTCCGCCATTTCTTTGCTATCAGTGCAGCTCTTGTCCCTTGGCGAGTTGTCGCTTGGCGGCACATTGGCCATGGGGAGTTGGCCTAGACCCCTCCCGAGTGGTGGGCTGCACATTTTTGCATCTGGCTTTGACTGCACAAAACCTCAGTGGACAATTCTAGTTCTTAAGAGTGTGAGAAATCCTGTGATATACAGATTAAAATTTAATTACTGAAAGGGGTATGTTTATTCCTTGACCATCCCCAACCCCAGTGAAAACATCCATTGTGTTCATTGGGGACATAAATGCATTTACAATTTTAGGCAGTTGCAGGACTTTGGAGAGGAAGAGGAATTGCCGATTCCCTGGTGAAGGGCAGTCACTTTTCCTAACCTCCCCACTGATGCAGGCCACAGGGCCGGGAGGCATATCTGATTTAAAACTGGTGTTGGTCTGTGCTCTTTAAGCATCTATTGTTATTATTATGCAAATGAGCCATACTAATTTATGCAGATGCCTCACCACTGTGGCTATTGAATAATAGGAAGTGATTTGATCTCTTCCTTGTGCTTAAAAATACTTGGGTTTTTTTGTTTTTGTTTTTTTTTAAATAGAACTAATTCTCTGATACTTCTCAGGACTTGAAGATTTAGTAGACCAATCCATGCTGGCTCTCAATTTGCTGCTATTGGGTGGCTCTGTTTAAACCGGAGGTTGTCTGATGTAGAGGCCTTGTGTAGCTGTCACTCAAAAATGCCGCACACTGGGTCCAGAAGTACATGGTGGGGGCAGAGGAAGAATATATTGCTGCAGGAATACTTACTATAGTGACCAGCAAAGCTGGGAAAAGCCAAGGTGCACGTGGGATCTTTCAAAGGATGCTGAACAGTAACGGGTGCCTGTTCAACAGGTGAGCAATGTCTTTCAACATGGCAAAATCAAAAATGTGCAAAAGAAAATGCAGGACGCTTCCTGCTGTTCTGGATAGCCCTGGAAAAGGACTTCCTGATGCTTCTTATAACAATGGGAATTAGTTAACCTCAGCCTGCCTGCAGTTGGACAGTCGTAGGTCATGTTGGATGTTAATTGAGTCATCATGTGACAGCATCAGTTTTATGACTTTTTTGCAGTGGTCGTTAAGTGAACACGGCAGTTATAAAGTGAACACCGTGGTCATTAAGCAACCCCATTGTCTGCAGTGGGCATTTTTTGCCCAGAAACTGGAAGTCAATGCCAATTTCCAACAAAAAAAATAATAAACCACAGTCATGTGACCACAGGACTCTGTAAATGATCGTAAATGCTCCCAAAACGCAGTCACATGACCGTGGGGGGGCCTTCAGTGTTCCAAATCCAGGTCATAAGTACTTTTTCAGAATTTGTTATAATTTCGAACAGTCACTAAGCAGACAGTTATAAGTCAAGGACTAGCTGTGCAACAGTCTTCCCAGTCTGGGAGTGAAAGTCACAGCTGGGCTCGGGATTGCACTGCAGCCATCTCAGGCTTCTCAGCAAGGTGGGCTGCATCCTAGGGATGGGGAGCCGTAAAAACCCCTTTGGTTTAATGCAGAAATGCAAAGGAGCTCTTAGAAAGAACCGGAGTGACTGACGGCTGTGAGCCAGCCTCAGTGCTCAGATTCCTCCCTCGGTGCCTGCTTGGCGTAAGAGGCTGGAAGTGAATCTCTTTGGGGTAGGAAGGGCTGCTTCCATCTGTTCTTTGTTTTGGTGACAGACCGATCAGCTACCAGGCTGTTTGCTTTTCACGGTGGGAGGACTGGCTCAGAGAGAGGGAGAAAGAGCCTCGGGTGTCGGTGGAGAACGGGGCCCCGGGCAGAGAAGCCTCCCTTAAAAATTCTCTGCATACTTTATTTATGTATCATGCGTTCCTTGTTCCTAGGCATGAAAACAAGATGTCAAAACGTTTATATTAGGATGCTGTTTCTGATGTAGGGTGAATTTTATTGTCCTTTTTTTCGTTTGCAGTTTATTTGCAATTGTCAGTTTGCATTGAGAACATTTAAATATTGTGATAATTAGATGAAACACTGCTACCGCCAGGTGTTGTTTTTTTCACAAGCAAATGCCACAGTTTGCTAAATGCAGCAAATTGCTGATATGTTTGGTGCTTTTCTTACCTATAATTGTGATCCGTGTCACACATTTGTTGACAAAGGTGAAAAAAGTTCTGAACAGATGGCAGTTTTAGCCACTCTAAATTCTGGACTCGAAATATTTGTTCCCCAAGAACAGATTTAGAAGAATCCTTCTATCCTGACAGAAATATAAACATGTTCTACATGTTAAGTGAACCATCCGTGGAATCATCCTTTTGAAATTAGTTTCACTTTTCTACATTGTCCCCCAAATCTCTGGTTGTGCATTTATTTATGTGTGACATTTTCCTGGTCCAATATGGAGAGAGAACTCTGCAGAGCTATAGGGAGTCATGCAGGATTCTTGCAAGGACCCTCACCAGCATCAGGTCCAGGAGAAACCTGCAGGAAGGTTGCCTCTTTCCTTTCCAGATACACCAGCCGTCTCGATTAGATCAAAAGGTGGCACAGGGCAGTGCCACGACTTATCGTCAGGAAATTTCGAGAGACGGTTAAGAATTGCCCCTGCTGGTGCTCAGACTGCTCCCTTTTCGGGGCAGGGCAAACCGCTCTGGCCGCATTCAGAGGAGACGCCACTTCTTGGCTGCCAGAGATTGTGAGAAATACGCTTAAGTGATTTCTTCTGACTCTGGCTAAAGATTCTTCCCCCTGTTTTCGGATACACTTGCAGATCTTTGTTAATAAATTACATCAAATGATTTGAAGTTTGGAAGGAAGGATGCTTGGCCTCCTCCTTCTTAAAAAAAAAATCTGAGTAAATAGTGCCCCTGGTATTGTAAAGCTTTGAATGTTTTCACACCCCATTAATTTATTACTTCTCCTTCATCTTTAAATTTCATTTTTTTCCATAAAAAAAACTTCCAGCTCCCTGCTGCTTGTGAGATTTCCATCTTGTTGTTAATTTTCTCTGCTCCATATGGAGCACCAGACATTTCACCTGGAGGCTGTACTAGATTTTCCTGTAGTGATCGCACTTCCGGAGGGCAGAGCTGTCATTTCGGGTTCCTTGTGCATCTGTCTCTGCCAGGCTTTCTTCCACTGGCACAAGAGCGTGTGAATAACAAATTGTGTGCACCTGAGATTGGTATGAGGGTATGGGTGGCAGGTGGATCTCTGCAGTTTGCAAGTAGATTTTGTCCCAAGTTTGAGAAAATCGCACCTACCATGCAGCTTTGGTTTGTGGTGTCCAACTTGAATACAGGAAGCATAGAGAAGGGGGGGGGGGAGAGAGAGAGAGAGAGAAGTAAATATTTCATCCTGCCTTGTCATTGATTAGAAT